TGAAGGTTCTTTGGTGTGAGTGTTGTCTTCTTGAAGTATTGCTATCTCTGATGAATTTACAAAGCAAGTTCTTCAGCGATCACTGAACATACTCAGCGTATGATCGCTGGAACTGAAAATACAGAAACAAAATTACATCGATAGATAAAATGGATTATCATCAAATCACTGAGAGAGAGGATCAACATCTTTCTTTTCTTTTTTTTATTATTATTAAGCTTTTAATTAATGTCCTTTAATTTTTAGTTGTAATTTAGTATTTTATTTCCTTGTACTTGTAATTTAGTTTTATATTAATGCAATTTATATTTCAGTATTATTTAATGTCTTATATTACTTTTATTATATTTAGCTAAATTACTCGTATGGGTGTGGGTGTGAGTTTAACTTAAGACTTTTTATACAATATTTGATAGTTTTTATCATTTATCACTCCGTAACTTGGTCACTTAAGACGGTACATAAACTCGACGCAGATAAGTCGATCACTTTGAAGTGTTAATATTAGATCTTAGACCCAGAGATGGACGGATCTGAAATACAACTTAAGTGATGCACAAAGAACTCGAGAGAGTATTTGATAATTACGTGGAGACGCGAATGTTGTATGCATTTAGCTAGGGGTTAAGCGATGGGTATTCTTATCACAACGAGATTTGGGAAAGAATCGTATTTCTTTTACTTTTTGGCTAGATCGGCAAGTCTCGAAGTGGTAAATGTAAAAACCTTATGTAATTTTATGAGGCCCGGTTGTAAGAGTTCTCTTTCGAGAGATTGGAATTTTTATAAATAACTCATAAAACTCTAACCATTTTATTGTTAATTTTATCTTAAGGAACACTTGCATCCATACCCATTCTTTAATATAAAAAGTTTATTTCGTTGTTTCGCTAGTTCGGTCCTCTTTCGGTCTTTTTATAAACAAAAATCCAACTTTTATTTACAACCCGAAACTCGTGCAAGAAGTTCATGAAAAGTCTCTGAATCTCATAAGTCACTTCCTTGTGGAACGATCTCGGTACTTTTTACCACTTTATTACTTGCAAGCGATCATAGTGTCGGCACGCACTTGCACTGCCACTGTGGGGACTTTGTGCCCACTGGGTGAACATGAACGATCCTAGCCATCAAGTTTTTTGGCGATGCTGCCGGGGACGTTGGCGCGATTTTTATCCTGAGATATTGATTTTTCATTTGAGCCTTGTTCTTTTGTTTCAATCGTATTATCCATGATGTATGCCAAGGCTACAATACGGTGAACTTTTACATCTTGATCTTGAATTAGAAAGAACCATTAGAAGACGTAGAAGAGGTAGAAATAATCGTAACCGTACCATGGGGAATAATTTACCTCCGAGGGAGGCCACGGTTAATATTACCGATGATAAAAATAGAGGCATACGGGACTACGCAACTCTCGAGTTCGGTCAGTTGGCCGTGGGAATAGGTAGGCCCGAAATCACAACGACAACTTTTGAACCAAAACTGGTAATGTTCCAAATGATTTTCGCGATGGGTCAGTTTGAGGGATTATCGTCAGAAAATCTGCACTCTCATTTAAAATCTTTTATAGAAATGACAGATCATTTTAAAATTCCAGGAGTCACACAAGAAGCCTTACGCTTGACGTTTTTCCCTTACACATTAAAGGATAGATCTAAATCATGGCTAAATTCTCAACCACCAAACTCGATCCTAAATTGGAATGATTTGGTGGAAAAATATCTAAAAAAATACTTTCCTCCGACAAGGAATGTAAAAATTAGAAATGAAATTGTCACGTTTCGCCAAGAAGAAGATGAAGCGGTTTCGGATGCATGGGAGAGATTTAAGGACCTTCTACGGAAATGTCCTCACCATGAAATCCCTCATTGCATTCAAATGGAGACATTTTATAATGGACTTTCTAGTTCCGAAAAAATTATTCTTGACGCAACGGCCGGTGGAGCTTTTATAGCTAAGACTTACAACGAAGGGTATGCCATTTTGGAACGAATTTCTAATAATAATACTGAATGGTCAAATCCTCATACTGTTGTTTCTAAATCTGCTTCAGGCATCCATGAAATGGATTCCATCTCTGCTTTAAATGCTCAAATTGTAGCTTTAACTAATTTGGTTAAAAACAATTTAAATTTGAATGGAGAGAAAAATCAAGTTCAATCCATAATGTCCAATCCACCTATGACTGAATCTTGTGTCTTTTGCGGTGAGGGCCATTCTTATGAATATTTCCCCGGAAATCCCGTCTCAGTAAATTATGTTGGGAGTCATGCTAGAAATAGTCTATTTTCTCCCACATGCCGATCTCAAGAGTAGACCTTTAGGAACTTTTTCTAGTGACACAGAAACCCCTAAGGGTAAGGAACATATCAAAACCGTGACCGTGTTGAGTGAAGAGAGGTCAAAAGTCAATGATGACACAAGTGAAACCGTCAAAAAACATACACATCAAAACGAGGTTTCACATGCTTTTGATATGTCAAAATTTCCAATTTTTGAGTTCTTCCGATGCAGAAACTCAAAAATTTGTTTTTGTCCAGAAAACAGTCCCTGCTTCAACTTCCAGCAACAAGCAGCTCTCTGCTGAAACTTCCCACAGTGGGAAGATTGTGCCCACTGTCCAACCGAACAAATCTATTCAACCAGCTCCAAATTTGCAGAATTTACCTTTTCCTGAAAGAATGAAAAGCAAAAATGTGGACGAGCAGTTTAAGAAGTTTTTGGACATCTGTAAGCAACTCCACATTAGCATACCTTTGGTAGAAGCTCTCGAGCAAATGCCAAACGATGTTACATTTTTGAAATACATTCTAAATAAAAAGAGAAGGTTGAATGAATTTGAAACGGTTGCTTTGACTAAAGAATATAGTGCACTCCTTACTTGTAAAATTCCTCCCATGTTAAAAGACCCGGGAAGTTTTACCATCTCATGTACTATAGGAGGAAAAGAAGTATGTCATGTCTTATATGATTTGGGGGCAAGCATTAATCTTATGTCATTGTCTCTTTTTAACAAACTAGGAATAGGAGAAGTCCGTCCGACTACCGTGACTTTACAATTGACGAATAGGTCCATTGCGTATCCTAAGGGTAAAATAGAGGATATTTTGGTCCAAGTCGATAAATTTATTTTTCCGGCCGATTTCCTAGTTTTGGACTATGAAACTGACAATAATGTCCCAATCATCTTAGGACGACTTTTTCTTGCAAGCAGGATAACATTAATTGATGTGCAAAAGGGGGAGTTGACCATGATAGTTAGTGATCAAGAAGTGAAATTTAACGTGTTTTATTCCCTTAAGTTTCATGGAGAGGTAGACGATTGTTCAGTCATATCTGCTTTAGGTGAAGATCTAGAGATAAGTTTGATTGACGTTCCCTACAAAAATGACATTAGGGAAAATCTTGAGGACATGTTGGAAGAAAATGTTGAGTTGGAAGATTTGGAATATTTAGCGGCATTTGAGCAACTTGACTTTAAGGATAGAGTTGTCCAACCACCATCCACAGAAAAAGACCCCGATTTAGAATTAAAGCCATTATCTAGTCACCTTAAGTATGTTTATCTTATGGAGGAGGAAAAATTACCCGTAATTATTTCTTGAAATTAAGTAATGAACAAGAATTGAGGTTGATAGAGGTGTTGAAAGGTCACAAAAGAGCCATAAGTTGGACCATTGCCGACATTAGAGGAATTAGTCCATCCCGTTGCCAACATAAGATAATTTTGGAAGAAAAGAGAGTTGGAAAGGTGCAACCACAAAGGAGATTAAATCCCATTATGAAAGAGGTTGTTAAGAAAGAAATCTTGAAGTGGTTAGATGCGGGTATCATATACCTCATTTCTAGTAGTGGTTGGGTGAGTCTGGTGCAATGTGTACCGAAGAAAGGTGGAACCACGGTTATCACCAATGAAAAAACGAGCTCATCCCTACTAGGACCGTCACCGGATGGCGGATTTGCATGGATTATAGGCAATTGAATCTAGCAACTAAGAAGGACCATTTCCCTTTGCCCTTCATTGATCAAATACTAGATAGATTGGCCGGAAAAGAATATTATTGCTTTTTGGACGGATATTCGTGTTACAACCAAATTCACATTGCACCTGAGGATCAAGAGAAAACAACTTTCACTTGTCTTTTCGGAACTTTTGCTTTTTGGCATATGTCATTTGGTCTTTGTAACGCATCGGCCTTTCCAACGTTGCATGATGTCAATTTTTCCGGACATGAGTGAAGATACCATGGAAGTATTTATGGATGACTTTTCCGTCATCGGTACATCTTTTTGAAAATTGTCTTGCCAATTTAAAGAAAGGTTTCGAAAGATGTGAAACTCATGATTTAATTTTAAATTGGGAGAAATGTATTATGGTACAAGAGGGAATTGTTTTGGGTCACATGGTTTCTTAAAATGGTTTGGAAGTTGATAAAGCAAAAATTGAGGTTATATTGCAATTGCCCAAACCATCTTCGGTCAAAGGCATTCGAAATTTTTTGGGACATGCGGGTTTTTACCGTAGATTTATTAAGGATTTTTCTAAAATTGCAAAACCCTTATGTAATCTACTGCATATTGATCAAACTTTTGACTTTACCTCCGAATGTAAAAAAGCTTTTGAAACTATTAAAAAAGCTCTTGTCTCGGCACCTATTATCATTGCCCAAGATTGGACCATGCCTTTTGAGGTTATGTGTGATGCAAGTGACTGGGTCGTAGGTGCCGTTTTGGGACAAAAACAAAGATTTTTCACCCCATCTACTACGCAAGTAAAACCTTGGTGAAGGCCCAATTAAATTACACCACCACAAAAAAAGAATTACTTGTGGTAGTATTTGCCCTTTGATCGTTTTCGATCCTACTTGATTGCCACTAAAGTCACCGTACATACGGACCACTCTGCCATCAAATATCTCTTTAATAAGACCGAGGCTTATTAGATGGGTTCTTCTTTTACAAGAATTCGATCTAGAGATAGTTGATCGCAAAGGTTGTGACAATCAAGTAGCTGATCATTTATCAAGGATTGAAGGCAAAGTTTCAAGCGGGGGAAACCATGTGATAAAAGAAATTTTTCCTGATGAATACATTTTGGTAATTCAAGACAATTCTCAAAATGAAATTCCATGGTATGCTTATATCGCCAATTACCTTGCCTGTGGTCTTAAGCTACATCATCTTCAAGGTCAACGCTTTAAGAAATTTCTTCATGACTGTAAGCATTATTTATGGGATGAAACATTTTTTACCAAAATGGGAGCAGATCAAGTCTTGTGGAAATACGTTCCAAATTTTGAAATTTCCTCTTTGTTAAAAGATTGTCATGCATCGTCGTATGGTGACCATTTCGGTAGACAACGTACGGCCGCAAAAAAATTACAAAGTGGATTTTTTTGGCCAACATTGTTCAAGGACACATTTGATTTTGTAAAGAGATGTGATCAATGTCAAAGAATGGGAAACTTGTTCCAACGAAATGAAATGCCTTTAAATAATATTCTTGAAGTTGAAGTTTTTGACGTTTGGGGCATCGATTTCATGGGACCATTTCCTATGTCTTTTTGACGTTTGGGGCATCGATTTCATGGGACCAAAAACGAGTTAGAGTAGCAATCTTGGTTGCAGTTGATTATGTTTCAAAGTGGGTAGAAGCTAAGATGCCCAAAGAATAATGCTAAGACGGTAACTGAGTTTTTGCATAACAATATTTTTGTCCGTTTTGGAACTCCCCGAGCTTTGATAAGCGATGAAGGGACGTATTTTATGAATCGAATGTTAGCTATCGTTCTTACCAAATATAACATCCAACATCTAGTTGCTACGGCATACCATCCACAAACGAATGGTCTTGCTGAACTTTTTAACCGTGAAATTAAAAATATTTTGGGGAAAGTTGTAAAACCAGATCGTAAGGATTGGTCACTCAAGTTGGATGATGCATTATAAGCATACTGAACCGCTTTTAAGACCCCTTTGGAAATGTCACCGTACCAGTTAGTTTCTGGAAAAGCATGCCACCTCCCGTTTGAATTAGAATACAAAGCTTTTTGGGCTTAAGGAATTTAATTTGGATGCGAGTTCGGCGGGAGCAAAAAGAAAATTTCAACTTAGTCAGTTGAAATAATTTAGATTTCATGCCTACCAGAATGCCAAACTCTAAAAGGAAAAAACAAAAGTATGGCATAATCGTAGGATAAATCATCGGAAAGTTTGAGAATGGTCAAAAGGTTCTCCTTTTTAATCCTCGATTAAGGCTTTTTCCCGAAAAGCTTATGTTGAGATGGTCCGGACCATTCACCATTATAAATGTGGGGAAATTCGGAACTGTGGATTTTTTAAACCCCCAAGATAACAGCACTTTCAAGGTTAATGGGGATCAGATAAAGCATTTCCTCCCAGAGGGAATAATCGATCCAACCCAGTAATTTGTGTAGTGGATTTTCAAACCTTGTAAATATTTTGAAGGCAAGAATGGAGAAAAAGCAAAAACATAAATAAAGGAATTTATGATGTTTTGAGTAGACAGTGGGAAGTTTGTGCCCTCTGTCTTGGTCATCGATTTTGGAGGGAAATCTGCAGCCTTTTATTTTCTTGTGTCAACCAATACATTTTTCTTGATAAATTGAAAATGGTTGGACATGTGAGGTCATCTTAGGTAAACCTTGGAGAAAGTGAAAAGAGGGTTTGTGGGTCTACATCATTGGGCAAGGACAAGCCTTGGATTATTACCCACTGATGGGTGGGCATTTTTCATTATTTTATAAAAGGCCAATTGGAAGGTGATAAAAGAAATTTTCAATTTTTTTCAAAAATGATGAAAAAAAAAATGACGTTCTCATTAAAATAACCATTCTGTTGAAAAACTCTTAGAAATAATGGGGACATCATTACCATGAAGTCATCATTGAGTCACAATTGATTTTAAATAAAAAAAAGAGAAAATGGAGTACAATCATGTCAATTCTAATCACCTTTTACATCTACCGTTCCCAATGTACCTTTCCAATAATTTGAATAAACAAAACCCACTAACCCCACTTCTCCCTCATTCTTCCTCACTAAGACACTCTTTCATCTTCCTCACTTCTCCTTCCAACCACCGGCCGGCTATTCCCCTATGGCTCGCCTTAAACAGCTGGTGCGCAACCACCCTTCGTGACGCTCTCTTCGCCGGCGACAAGAGGATGCGGCGATAATGTGCAGGCCACCGAGCCTACTGCTTCTTTTTCCGAACCATCTTCAACGGCTACAGGAGGCTCTTCCTCCGCCAGTGCCTTCACCGCCAACACGATCGCCGCCTTCCGCAACCTCCCTCCAGCCACTGTAAGTTCCTCTCTTCCCTCCCCGTCCACTATTCCCTCATTATCCCCATCACCCCAACCATCATTGTGCTTACTTATGATGATGATGGTATGGCCATTCTCACTTGGGTGGCCCTATATCTCAGTTATCGAAGTCTTCCACAACCCCAAAGCCATTCTCCATTTCTTTAAACACACTAAATACATCACCCACCATTGCGTCATCACAACCCACCACCACTCCCATCCACAATGTTGACCAATCAACCCTAGCCCCTTCACCACCGGTTTCCCCAAATCACTCAAGGTTCGACCTAAACCAAATGGGGGAATGTGAGGATGAAGGATTGGACGACATTATGTTCGATTTTGAAGGTATACCGGAGGGAGGACAGGCCGAGACTTTTCCATTCGAGACACCAACAACCGTTGTTGCCTGTAAACAGCCCGACAAAACTAGTGTGACAGACCCCACGGTTGAGCGAAGGAAAACTCGCTCTTCAAGTCAGGCATCGGGTGGGCCGAAAACAAGATCACAACAGTGGCGGGAGAAGGGAAAGGAAAAGGTGACAGAGGATCACGATGTTGATTATGATCAGGAAGACGAAGAAACTCTAGTCCCCACACCTCGACTAAAACGGACTGTTTCACGCAATCGAGGTACATCTTCATCCTTTGATGATCGGATAGATCTCATCTGCAATAATCGATTTCTTTGTGAGCGGGATTTTGACCTGAAACTTAGTGATAAGTTGATGTACGTAAAGCACCATTTGTTTGCCCATCATTAGGAAAATATGATTGCGATTCCATGCAAAGTCAACGAGACGGTGGTAAAAGAATTTTTTGCAACCATCAGGAGTTCCAAAAATGACACCATTGTCATCAGAGGAACACGGGTAATTTAGACAGCACCGAAGCTAAACTCGGTGCTCGGTCTCACCTCCCTCTTTGTGTGTTCATACCGACAGTTTATTGATGGTGGATTTGATGTACCGGAGGAGGAGATTGCATGGGCGCTTCGTTTGCCCGGACACGGTTGGTCTCAAGACAACTGTAGGAAAATTTTAATGTTAGGGCACTTGACGTTAGAGGCTGCCCTTTGGTTTCAATTTGTTCGCCACAACATCATGCCTTCCATGCATGATCGTACCTTGTCAAGGGCGAAGTGTATTTTGGTCTATTGTATCATCAAGGAACTTCCTATCGACGTGGGAGCTCTCGCATATTCGACAATACTAACATCAACTGTGCGAGCTAATTCGCGTTTAATTTTTCTAGTTGGATCACAAAGCTTTAGA